TAGCCGTGAATTCTGACCGAGACGCAGACAGGAGGCAGGGGAGATAAATCTAGCTGCAGACAAGATCTGAGAGATGTTGACTGCTGGACACAATCACTTCTGGGCAGAAATATCACTAAGGGGGAAACCAGCAAGAACCACAACCAAATCATGGGTCATTCCAAAGCAAATCCCTTTTGTTAGCGTTTGTGTTGGGTTTATATCATTTAGGTCTGAGGTATGTGGGGGAGAGTCAGTTTCAAACTTAAGGCAAGGGCCTACTGGGTATTTAGGAGCCACCCTGGTCAGCAGGGGGAGTGTGAAGACTGGTCAGCTGGAGATGGCTTGGTCCAGGCTGGCTGAAATTGCCAAGAGTGGTTTCTCCAGTTTCTCCATCAAGAATGAGAGGTCTGGGCTGCCGAGAGGGTGCTGGTGAGACCAGGCAGGGAGAACATGGGAGTCCTGGCTGATGAGAAGAAAAGCTGAACTGGGATATAAACTAGGACTTTCCAGGGCTTGGAAAGAATGCAGTCACTAGCCATCAGGACACTCATGGATTTGAATAGTGAATAATTAACTCTCAGTTCGTTAATGAGATCTGGAGTGGTGCTATGGTGAATGGAGATTTCTTTGGTGGCTTTCAAAGAACGGCTGCCCTACCAGTCAGGGGATCTCGGCTCCTGGGGATACGGTTCTGGCTTCAAGGGAGCAGAGGGAGGGGCGCCCGTAGGTAAAATTTCCAAGCGAGAAGCGTGATGGTAGCAGTAGGTAACAGAGACCAGGTTGCAGGAACTCCTGGATATGACACACGACCACAGAGGCATGGGCAGCAGTGGTCCTGCACTGGAAACTGAGTGTTTCCTGCTTCAGAAGTGGTGAATTCCCACCTGGAGGAAATCCCTGGCACAGCTGCTTTGCTGCTGTTGCAGCACATCTGGGTCAGCCACTTGAGCACACCCGTCCTCACTAATTCCTCCTCCCTCTTCTTCCTTTCTTGACTGATGTCTTCCTTCAGGGTTATTCTCTTTTGCAAAGTCAAATTATGCAGCCTGCGTGGTACAGCACACAATAAATGCCTCGCCACTTCCCCTCCAGCAAACTGAAGGGTCCCTGCAGATCTGTGCTGGCATCCAAAGCCCATTCTTAATATTCCAAAAGTGCCTGGTGTAATTGATCTGGTTGCACGGTTCTGCTGTGCGATAGCATCCTTCATCTGCCCGACGGGCCCACCAGACAACGACTGCAGGGAAAACCAATGTCTCGTACAGATCAGAAAGTCTGTGGTCTGTGCTTGACTGCATCCTTACCTTTTTTACGCTGCTCGATGGTTCGGAGTACCATGCTGCTCCATGAGGATGATGCTGAAAGCAGGGATGGGAACTTGTGTACTCCAGGGTGCCTGAGACCTTGGATGCTGGCTGAGAGCTCAAAATACCCTCAAAGGCCATGTTGCCTACTGTAATCGATTTCCATTTCCCTTCCTCGGCACAACAATTACACAAATTACTCGCCAACCAACGTGTCCTGAGATGCTTCATCTGGCGGGTCACCCCCTTTCTCTCATTTGCATTTGCACCCAAGTGGCATTTAGAGCTTCCTTGCTCACCAGTTTGCATTGCTACTGTCAGTGTTAAGAGCACGCTGGGGGGAGGCATGAGATGGCAGCCTAGAGCCAGCTGTGGCATTTTCAAGGCATGAAAGACTTTGGGTGTCTGTGGCAGCGGCGGGAGAGAAGAGAGGGAGGGTGCTTCGACTGATTCCACACTGAAAATGTCTGTTCTTTGACCCTGATATTGCTCGCTAAGGAAATCAAGCTATCAAAGAAACCCGCAATAAAATATAGTAGGGTCCGGATTATCTTAGCTCTTCTTCCTAGAACATGAGGGGTTTCGCCAGGTACACAGGATGTTGTACCTGTGAGTCTCAGTATTTAAACTAACGAATGAATGTGCAGTATGGTGTCGCCTACTGAAAGGCAAATGGCCATTAAATTCTAAACGTCTGCTTAAATGCATATATGGGTGTGTAAAAGCCTGTCCAATTGAACCACTGAAATGACTGGGACTGTTTGGTGAGAGAGGTTCCACTCAGTCTAGACCAGTGTTTCTTAAACTGAGCCGCGGAGAGCAACAGAATTCAAAATGGCCGCCCATTTTGCTCAACAAAAAATTCTTGGTGTTCCTCATAAAAAAAAGTGTTGTTTGGTGTTCCTTGGTCATAAGTTTGAGAGAGACTGGTCTAGACGCACAGATTTTGTCAGACTGGATAAGACTAGCGGTCCATCTTGTGGAATGTCCTGTCTCTGACAAAAGGAGAAGCTGTGCCCAGTATTAGAAGCTTCAGAAGAAGATACAAATCAGCCTTGCAATAGACGGGCGTGGAATAATTGCTTATTTTTTAATATTTACCGTGATGACACTGTATGTTCATGTTAGCCATATAAATGTCAAATCTTTTTTTAAATTCTGCTCAGAGTTTGGCTTCAGTGATAGCCCCTGGCAATGAGTTCCACAGGTCAATTGTGCATTATATGGAAACATATTTTCTAGTATCATTTCTCAGCTTGCTTCCTTTGAATGGCCCTTTGTTTTTGTGCTGTGAGACAGGAAAGAAGTTCTTGATCTGCCTTTTCTAGGCCACTCATTAGTTTGTCACCTCTCCTCTCACAGTGGGAGAATTAGACGCACAGAGCGTATGTTAGAAAGCTAGACTAAATCACATGGAGAAGAAAGTTTTGCAAGCCAAGGACAGATATATATTTTACACTTTGATGGTGTAAATGTTATTCTAATACAGACCCGTGATTTTGTGCTATAGTGAAAATGTTTTCTTAATGGACAGATGCCTGTTAATTTTATTTTTGATGAACTATTTCAGGTATTCAAAGATGCATTGCTTCTACAATGACAACAGAGAAATCACAATATGTAATCAGAACAGCAGTTCATTGAATTCAGTATTCTTTCCTTGATGGGACCAGCGCTCACTGCCTCAAAAGTGCAAGAAATCCTGTAATGGACAATTTTGGGTTAACTTATGCATTATCGTAATGCTTTATCCCGTCAGTTAGTAATTTCTTTATGCCTTGAATCATCAGTGTTTAGATCCCTTCTAAATTAAAACAGTTCTATGTAATATAACTGGGGCTGTTTTCATTGTCCACATAAATGTCCTTTTTGACATTCTACTAAGCCCTCAGATCTTTATCATGTGGCAGGAAGTTCCACAGGTTAATTATGCACCATGTAAGAAAGTATTTTCTTTTCTCAGTTATAAATATGTCATCTATCAATGTCATTGAATGCATTACATTGAATGTGACCTTTCTTGGATTATGAAAGAGGTAGACAAAGGGTCTGATTTAACTCCTTTAGAGCATTCATTATTTTGTATTATACTGTTGCATTCTCTTTGCAAACTGTATCTAGGTATTCCATCGCTCCTCATTTAAAAATCTTCCCATCTCTCTAAGGCCAGGTCTATACTAGACCCAGAAGGTCAACTTAAGGTATGCAACACCAGCTTTGTAAATAACGTAGCTGGAGCTGACATACCTTATGCCAAGTTTGCCGCCGTCTCCACAGCAGGACGTCAGCGGGAGCAAACGTTCCCATCAGCTTCCCTTACAACTTGCAAATAGAGGCGTACTGGCACCGACTGGGGGCACCTTCAGCATGCGATTTAGCGGGTCTTTACTAGTCCCACTAAATCGAATGCCTGATTGATCTCCAGCACGGCAAGTGGAGAAGCGGCCTCAGTATTGCCAGTCACCATTGACTCTCTTTTCCCTAACCTCTTCTTTGAGCTCCATTGATTAGAAAGCAGTGCGGACGTCCAGGTGTGAGAGTGCCTGGGACTGACATAATGTCAATGGAGAAGATGTATAGTGAATGAGAGAACAGATAACACTAAAACCAAACTCTTACATGCCTTGGACCATCCCTGGGCAATGAGAGATTGCCAGAAGTGCTCAGAGTTCATGTAGCGCGCAGCAGCGTGTACACGTAGTTCAAATTATTCCATCCAATGTGCATGATGGTGCTTTTGTAAACAATGAATTTCAAGCAGTACATAGCGTTGCCAGAATTTACATATTTTCGTGCATTTTTAAATGACACTTTAAACAACTTTTTTAAGATTACAAAGGAGACAGTCTGTCAAGAGTGAAATAAGCGAAAATGAAGGTGAACATTCCAATGGCATTACTGTGGTGTAATGCAACTTTGCACACAACATGAGAAGACTTTACTTCTAGAGTCTATGCCTAGAGGTGCAAGAATAGCTGTGAACGGCTAATAAGAACCAATGCTATTGGGGACATCTGTTTTGGTTTTCATTTTTCAGTGTTATTAGTGCTTATTGGTACAAGGTTCAGGAATGTAGCCAATCCCTTTGAAGTTGAAAGTGTATTGTAAGGCTAGAGGCATTGTGTGCCATGTTGATGACCCTGTATGTAACCTTTCAATTAAACATCCATAATGCATGGAATAAAAAGGGCCTCTGTTGAATGACTGCAAAACTGAACTATAATGCAAGTAAACTTAGTTTTCAGTGTAGGAAAGTTTTCTCTTTTCTGATTTCATGCAGCAGTTTCAGTACAGACACCAGATTCTCCATATACTTTCCCCCAAATACTTTCTTTTTTAAAAAAAGTGTACAGATCTATTAAATTGCACACATTCCAGGATGCTTCTTAATTGTTGTATGTCTTTGGATTTACAAACTATAAAAATGCCTAGTCTAGGAGCTGATATAATTTAAATATAATGATGTCAAAGTAAAACTGACATTTACCCCTCCCTCAAACCAGAAAATAAGAAAATAGGTGCCAGAGAAGAAATGAAATGCAAACCATTTTGTTTCCTCTGCAAATCTCGGCCCTCCTAGTATGTTCCCTTTACAAGAGAAGCACTTCGCACCCTTAACAAATCTGGGCTATTTTGGAGCAGTTGGGTATAGTAAATTCTGAAGTTTAGGACACTTGCGGACAGCTCCCTCTCTGTTGTAATGAGGGTCCTACTGACCACAGATCTGGCAGGGTAGCATGGGGAGAGCGGGGACATCTCAGGCAGAACCTCAAAACCAGCACCTTCAACTCCACCCAGAAACCAACAAGCAACTTATGCAGCTCCCTGATCAGCAGAGTCATGTGCTCTTCCAGCAGCCTTGTTTCCAAGTTGATTTGAGGTGCTGCCTCACGTACAGCCTGTTGCAATTATGTGATCCTTAGCCAGTGTGTGGGTTAAAGAAGATGAGTTGATTGCCATAATTAATGTTTGAACTTAACATATTTGAAATCTGATGGTGAGCTACTCCTTGGGGCAGGTTTAATTTACTTTTGTAAGTGACTAACCCAACTACTCTGTAACTAATCACCAAAATGATATTTCAGTGATTGACTCTAGGCGGGCGAAAGAGAGATGCCTATTAAATACGTTAGCCCGTGCTCATCCTCCAAGCAGCTAATCACCTCTGGCCAGAGCTCTTCAGTGCGCACTCATGGAATGCAGCCAGCCGTCCAGTCGCACCCTTAGTCTCTGTCGCTATCGTCCATGTAGGTCAAAATGAGACAACACGACTTTTCTTCATGATTGCCCTGCCACGTGGTGGTCCCGTGGTATCAGTAGTGCTGGGCCTGGGGGAGGCAGGCAGGGCCCTGAGGCTATCCTGACTGACACGCTGCATGGCTGTTTTGGGGGGCATGGCAAGCACAGAGAGGGTGTATTCCCCTTTGGACAGTTCAACGGGGCGATGTTAACCTGCAGTTTATCATATTCCAGGGAGATGCCCGGGGGCTCCCCAGGAATCGGTGATGTCCAGTCTCATTATTTTAATTAGTTTTCATTAATGATATGGGAGTGGGAATAAATAGGAAGATAATGAGATTCATTAATTGTGCTAAAATGGAAAGAGTTGCAAATATTAGGGGGGACAGAAAATATTACGAGTGGTGTGAGTGAGATTAGAGAAGTGGGGGAAGTTAGCGGCACTCAGGAGGAGACAGCAGGTGTAAGAAGGGGAAGTACGGGAACAGGCAGACTAGTGGGAGAAAGGACTAACTGGAACTTAGGCCGGTAATAACCACTACCGGGATGTGGAACAAACTCCCTGAGAAGTGAGGAGACCCTCAACATTTACACCTATCCTGGAAAAGGTGAGTGTCCTGGGAGGAACCTGCTGCAGCCCCAGGAGATGGACTGGTGAGACCTGACTGAGGTTTCCTTTGCTATGGATTGTGACCTTGCTGTACGGTTTCTTAGTTTCATCTTTGTGTTGCAAGATCTAGACTCTGACACTGACTCCCTTTAGGCTCATGAACTGGCCCCCAGCGGTGGAAAATGTGCAGACAGGCAACTGGTTTGGGGAGCATCAGACAGCCGAGAGAGGTGCAAACGTGCACCCCGGGGTCCAGGCCATCACTGGGGAGAGTTCTTGGGATGCACCCGACGGCGTCGGAAAGGGCCCGCGGTGAGTTCCTCTTGCCAGTGCAGGTGAAGAAAGTGAGCAGCTGGTGCTGTCTGTGGTCATTAGTCGGCTCCTCCCAACTTCCTCCAGTGGCCACCTGTGGGGAGAGCTGGACCCCAGATTCCTCCTTCACCACTCTGGCTTTATCCAGGAATCTGCTTTTCCGCTGCCTACAATGAGCACGTGATGCAAATGACGAGCAGCCCATTAGTTCCCACTGCTCCCTACCCTTTCCTTAGGCTGCCTGAGCTGAGTGCTGCATCTCTGGAGAGGGTGACCAGTGAGCACAGCAAGGTCAGAGGTGTGTGGCCACGGGACTGCCGTGGCCTGGGAGGGGTCTCAGTCCCAAACTGCTCAAGGCCCAGGGCAGTGCGCCAAGACGCTCTGACACAAGGCGAGGGGCATGGTGCAAGAACAGGGACAGAAATCTGTGTGGAGCGTGACCATTGCTGTCCCAAAGGCATCATGGGAAACGTGAGGTCAGGGTTCTATTACGGTGACCGGCCATTGCCTCTGTGGTGTTGTTCAAGTGGAGAGTTTGACCCATTTCTAAATGACTGTTAGGAAACCCTTATTCAATACAGGCTGGGAGGTGTTAGGCACAAAACAGGGACCATCCTTTCAAATACAGAGTGGGCAGGTCTCTGTTGGTCTGTCTGTATCTAGTATTAGAAGATGCACTCGAAAAACGGATTACGAATGGGCCCTTTTCCATCTGCACAGTGAAAGCCTGACGCACTGAGCGAGAATGTGAGTGCAAAAAAATAAGGGAGAGAGAAGTGCAGCATTTCCTATGGCATGTTACAGCTCAGAGAGAGACAGCAGAATTTTATACACTCACAGACATCATCAATGAATAACTCACCAGTGAGCTCTCTGGTAATTGAAACCACAACAAAGAAAAAATGTCATCTTCAAAATACAAAAGTAGCCTGATGATTTAAAAAAAGTCAGGTATGGGGGGACCAATCTTATATTTAAACACTTGGGCACCAGGAACAGGAGCAGTCCATGTTCTACTCACAATAACAGACGCTGCTGAAAACAAAATGTTCAAATACTGTTGTGTAACATGGGGCCTCATTTGCAAAGAAAGCTTTGAAATTCTTCATCCAGCTTCTGGAAGCTTGTTTGCAGCTCCTGCTTTTCCAGAATGACGGGGACTTCCTCTTAGACTTCTCTACTTTTTTGGCATTTCCACCGAAAACTGCAGCCAAAGGAAGGGATTTCTTATTGCATCCACGTCTGGCCATTTGTGACATTTTCATATAGGAAGGTAGGAAATCTGTGCTTGCAGAGCTGTGAACTGAGTGATTCCTGTCAGTCTTCTGCATCATAGGATATGCCTCTTTGTCCAGAGAGACCCTAAGAGGCACTTTCTCTAGCTGTGAAACAAGGCATCTGCGCACCTAGAGGTCCCTGTGCGATTCTTTGCTTCCCCGGGGGATAGCAAGGAAAAGAGACGAGTCGATGGCACACACTGCCATGCAGAGCCCATATCACAATTGCACTTAGGGGCCACACCGCCATGCAGAGCCCATATCACAATTGCACTTAGATTCCCGGTGTCCTCCTCACTTGCTGGCTTTCATGGAGAGACAGGAGATGGCACCTCCAGGCGAGAAGGGAGAGAAGCCCTGGAATGCTGTGAAGTGGTAAGGAAAATGCCTCCGCATGTGCCTGGGGCTTCTTCACACCTCCAAACCATAATTGCCTTATCGCACACACTGGCACTCCTGGTATTCGCATTAAGAGTTTTCATCAAGGAAGTTTTTAATCTTCTCCGAGCAAGTGAGTTCTCACAACCCATAAATCTTTATGTTTAATACATTAACAATATAGAGATAAGTATCTAATTTCACCTTATGCAAGACAGAGGCGCCAATGACAAATAGCACTGAGTAATATTTATGAGTTCCATGCCTGGAGCAATAAGAAGCACCTTAAATTACTGTAAATACTAACAAGCCACTTTCCTGGATGATTTTAGAAAACTTTGAGCCATTCGCGTGACTCTGGACCTGCCCTCTGTCCTGCAGCAGTTCAGCACTGACGGCCGTTGCCACGTGGGAACCCTACAGCCGAGCAGTCTGCCTGCTGTGCCAGCTCCCGCGGCTTCCTGAGCTGGGGCGCAGCCACTCCTTAAACCAGTCAAAAGAGATTTGAGCAACGTGGGGATCTGTCAGATCAAAGCAAGCTGAGCGTTCCGGCTAAGGCCAGCATGCGCATGGGCAAAACAGCCTGGGTCTTACTCACCTCTTCTCCCGCCTAACGCTGCTCGCATCAAGTGGCTCCATTTGGAATGGGGCCCAAGTTGTTCTCCTGCTGGCAAGGCCCTGGCAGGCTCCTCTGGTTCTAGTGCAGCGTGCGCAGTGCGAGCTGCTCAGGAAGAACCCGGCGTCCCGAGTAGTCGACTCCCCTCACACAGGTAGCCAGTGAAGACCACGTGACGCGCTGACCCCGTGGCACATACATACAGGCCCCAGTCTCTAGTCACCTTCGCTGCCAGCCTGTGCCTGTGCCTGTCGTGCCCACCCCCTTCGTTCTGTGGAAATAGACTACAGGGTGGGAGGGGGCACCCTGACATCAGCGCCCTCCTCCCCCTTCCCTGCTGTGCACCGCAAGCAGGAGGCTCCTGAGGAAGGGCAGCTCCAAGGCAAAGAGCAGGAGGTGCACAGCAGTGGGGGAGGGGAAGCTGAAGTGCTGCACTTGGCCAAATGGGTCAGGATCCTGTCAGAGGCTCCAATCCTGATCCGCTGGTTGGTGACCACTTCTATACCATTTTTGGGGCCAACACCCCCACCTATGGGTGCATCAGTGATCTGGTTGCTCCCCTCAAGATCCAGCAACGTGACACCCCCTCACAGTGCAAATCCCAAAGACCAGAGCCTGTGTCCCAACCTTCTGCCCCAGCCTAGTGAAAGGGAGGGAGGAAGGAGTGAGAAAGGGCAGGGCCTAGGAGAAGGGGTGGGGCAAGGGTATTTGGGTTTGAGGTAGATCCTGGATTGCACTTAAATGCAAAAAGTGATCTCGTGCTTAAAAAGGTTGGAGACCCTGCACTTTCCTCTTCTGTCATAAGCTCTAGATTAGCACAGCGTCTGGTCTCGGCCGGTGCCTCCAGGTGCTACAGTAAGGGTACGTCTAGACTAC